CCACCATATGGTTTTTCTTAATGACAATCTTGTCTACAGACTCAAGGTCATCAAAGGCTACAAAGCAAAGCCTCTCCTTGCCACTGCCTCCATCAGCCATGATTTCAATCACTTTAATTTTCCCATATGCTCAAAATAATCATTAATGCCACCAATAAAAAAAAATTTCAGTTAAACGGGCACCAGGTCTCTGAGAACCTTATGACACACCCCCTTTGGTTCCACAACTCTTCCATCCACCTTGTGTGGCCTTGCATTTATGACCGCTTCCACTGCCACATAGAAAAGGAGACCTGATGCTTCCTCAGAGTCATCCATGGGCACAAAGCGCATTTCTTTGCTGAATCAAAACACCATTGTCGGGATGTGACAGTTTATCCATTTACTGAGGACATGTTGGTTGCTTCCCCAAGTTTTGACATTTATGAATAAAACTGCTAAAACTATGTAGATTTTTATGTGGATGTAAGTTTGCAATTCCTTTGGGTAAATTTTAAGAAGTCCAGTGTTTTGCAACCATCCCAGGCCAGTTAGGTTCACCATTGGGTCTAGCGATTTGAAGAATTTTGGAGCCCTTGGCATTGTTTTTACAGATCTTAATGGTGAGCAGGGGAAACAAGCCTGCAGGGAGACAGCAACTTGAACCCCCTTCCCCAGGGTGACGCTGCCCTTTTATCCCCCCTCTTAGGCACAGGTGTGCACACTTGCACATGCGCACACACCCATGCTCAGGTGTCCATACTCTGGCACTTGTGTCCCAGACCTATGTGCCTTCAGCGTTAACAAGATCAAGGTTACAAGTGATAGTCACAGTCAGGTTGTGTGAAAAGCCTGATGAGTTAATATACCCCACATCCAATTTATCCGTTCTTATGTGGAGTACTTTTTGGTTTGCAGCTAAGAAAAGTCACCACCTGGGTCTCCCTGGTGCTGTAGGGGTTAAGTCTCAGCACTATCACCGCTACAGCCTGAGTGTAATCCCTGGCCAGGAAGCTACCCACATGGCACAGCAGACCTCTCCTGTGTCACCCACTGCTCCCCTCAGGAGTGTATTTCAATAGATCTACCTGTTCTGCCCTACACTGTCTCAGGTGTATTGTCTCATACCCTGCATCTCTGGCCTACACCCCAGTTCCTGTATGCATAAATATTTTTTTAAAAAGTCATCACTATAACCAAGATCTTTTGCTACTTCTAGGGTTTTTATAGTTTTGTGTTTGACATTGAGTTAATTTTTGTGGAGGATGTAAAGAAGGGTATGTGGGTTAAGTTTTTTTTTTTTTTTAAAGAAATTTGAGGGGCCTCCCTGGTGGCGCAGGGGTTAAAGACACTGCTATCAAGCTATTGCCAGTCACTGCAGCACAAGTTTGAGCCCCAGCCAGCCAGGGAGCCACCCACATGGTGCAGCAGACCTCTCCTGTCTTGCCCACTGCTCCCCTCAGCAGTGTATTTCAGTAGATCTGCCTGTTCTATTCCCCACTCTCTGGTGAATCCTCCCACCCCCACACCTCTGGCTTACACCCCAGTTCTTGTATGCATAAATAAATCAATCTTTAAAAAAAAAAAGAAATTTGACGTGATTAAGGCTGAGAAGTTTCAAGCTGATTTGTATAGTACCCTACTGTAAATTCTTGCCTAGATAAGGATCCTAGCTACAGAACAAAAAATTTCCTTAGATTGAGATCTACTAATTGCATGACCTAAGAATATACTAAATATCTGTGCTTGTCTCTATTATAAGTAAAACTCAGGAAGATTATAGTAATTACCTTAGTGTAGTGCCAGCAAGCACAGAGCAGTTTCATTATGGATCCGGCCAGATGGATAAAGGAGATCCCCAGAGCCCTCGGTGGATTTTTCAGGCTTTAATGCTCTCTCAGGGAACCAGGTACACAGGCAGGAAGGCTGGCATGCAAGGAGGCAGGCGAGGGCCAAGCAGAGAAGGCTGGAGGCAGGCTGGCAAGGGAGCTGCCTAGTTCCCCAACAATCTTTATTTTTTCTCTGGGCTCTGGCATTCACTCATGGTCTTGCCTCTCTGTAGTCACTCATCCTCTCACAGCCATCTCCCATCTCTGAGTGATCCTGCCCTTATATCACGTCCCTCCTGCTCCACCAGGTGTCCACGGTTGAAAATCGACCACTAGCATCAATTAGGTTCAATGGCACTCACACCAATTAAGTCTTGGCAACAGCTGGAAAATGGAGTAATCAGATTTGCAAGGCCAGTACCCGAAGGGGAATAGAAGCCGAAGTTTCCGCAAGGTTCCATTTGACTTGAGAGAGGCTTGAGGCTATTTGGGAAGGCTTTAGTTGGTGAAAAGGTCTGACTCAGCTCAGAAGAAGCTTCAGAGGAGACTTGACTCTGCTTCAGAAAGCACCTTAGCAAAAAATTTCATACATCAGCTGCATCTGTTGGGAGTGCCACTGACCTATGGCTGGCACCCCTAGAGAGAGGTCAGGTCTGGCATCTGAAACTGCCTGGCCCAGCTTCAGATTGTGCTGCGCTGCTGAGGTGCTGCCCAAGCCGCGCCACTTGTGACAACCCCAGCTCCACAGGTAGTTGGATCCTGGCCTGCTGCTTCCCACTGTGCCACCAGTTCCAGTCTCTCAGTGGAGGGACAACAGTACCTTGCACAAGCATTTTTTAGTGGACACTGTGCCAATTGCGGGCCGATTGTGTCTTGGGGCCAATTGTGGCCTCAGAAACATTTTCCTTATCCCAATTTGTCTGTAAATCAATGCTGTTGTTGCACCCTAACACTGAGCTGTATCTTACAGTTGTGAGCCCAGAGGTGAAGAACCCCACAAATGTGAGATTCCACAAATTCTTGCTTAATATGAAAATATCTATTCTACCTAAAGCAAATATAGATTTAGTGTACTCTATTAAAACCCCAACGATATTCTTCAAGGAAATAGGACAAAAAGATAGTAACTTTTTTTTCTTGTAGAAGAACTGGAGTGTAGGCAGAGGTGCAGGGGGTGAGAGAATTCACCAGAGACAGAGTGGGGAACAGAACAGGCAGATTTACTGAAATATACCTCTGAGGAGAGCAGTGGGCAATACAAGAGAGGTAACTCAGGCTGTAGAAATTTAGCCCCTAGGCAACCAGAAGGCCCAACATATTAAATTTATTTGGACCAGTAAAAGCAGTCGGGGTGGCCTATAGATAAGTCTTAGTGCTATCACCACTATGACCTTAGTTCAATCCCCAGCCAGGGAGCTACCCACATGGTGCAGCAGACCTCTCCTGTCTTGCCCATTGCTCCCCTCAGCAGTGTATTTCAGTGGATCCACCTGTTCTGCTCCCTACTCTGTGGTAAATCTTACCCCCACACCTCTAGCCTACACCCCAGTTCTTGTATACATAAATAAAATAAATCTTTAAAAACAAAATCTTAAAAAAAACACACAATAGTGCTGTGAAGACTGGATGGATATATGTAAAATAATGAGGTGGAATGCTCCCCATATACGAAAACTAAAAAGTGGATTGGACTTACATAGCTATAAGACCTGCAACAATGGAAACACTTGGAAGAGAATACTGGTGGTATATCATCAATAATAAAGATATTTTTGGAGATCCCTACAGCAAGGGAAATAAAAGCAAAAATAAGCAACTGGGGTGTGGTAAAATGGATATGGTCAGCGATTTCTTCCTGCACTACTACAAGTTTGGACACAAGTTTCTGGAGTTTAAGTTTTGGTCGGATGGAAATCTTAGCTACACAAGCCAACAACAGCAATTATGAAAATGATGTGATGATCAGAAAAGAGGCTTGTGTACACAAGAGGGCAATTGAACGACAGAAGAGAATTACTGATGACAGTGAAATTACAAAAGATGGGGCTCTGTGACCTCCCTTAGCAGGGCTGGCCAACAAATATTTATAAATATAAATATATATTTATAAATTTAAATATATAAATATATATAAAAACATGTTTTTATTTTTATATAAAATCCCATATTTGTTATGGGATAGGTAAGAGAGATTTTCATTTATAGTGTTGGGATTTTTATGAACGTGAAGCAAACAAACAGATTTTTTATATAAACGGAAAATATGAAAATACATAGGCAGGCTTAGTGGTTATTTTCATTTGGGTCAAAGTGGGTTGGAGAGCCACCACACACATTACATTCTATAAACAAAAGCCGCCTTTCATTGAAGTTTTGCTCCAGGAAAACATCAAGCCTGGAAAAAAAAAAATTGTGACTACCTTAAAACGCTTTACAGAGCCAAAGAAAATAGAAGACTAAAAACACATCCTACTGGGGGCCTCCCTGGTGGTGCAAGGGGTTAAAGCACTGCACTGTGAAGCAATCCGCAGCCTTTGCAGCACGAGTTCCATCCCCTGCCGGCCAGGGAGCTACCCACATGGCGCAGCAGACCTCTCCTGACTTGCCCACTGCTCCCCTCGGCAGTGTATTTCAGTCATTCCTCCTGTTCTGTTCCCCACTCTGTCTCTGGTGAATCCTCCTCTCACCCCCTGCACCTATGGCCTAAACCCCAGTTCTTGCATGCATAAATAAATAAATCTTAAAAAAAAAAACAACAAAAAACAAAAAACACATCCTACTGAATGGGAGAAAATATTCAGATAATAAAATTGTCAGGGAGTTAATATCCAAGATATATATATATATATATATATATATATATATATATATATATATATATACACACACATATGATTCAATTTAACAATAGAAAAAAAACAACCCAATTGAAGGGGCAGTGATATGAACAGACAGTTGTCTAATATGATAGTTGGGAAAATGCTCAACATCACTTTTAATAGGAAGGACAGAAGTCAAAACCATAGCGCTATATCTCACACTTATGAGAATGTCGTATATAAAGGACCTTCAGCAATAAGTGCTGGGGAGAATGTGGAGAAAGAGGAACAGTAATGCATTGTTGGTGGGGATGGAAACTGGGTCAGCCATGTTGAAGAACGATCTGAATCTACCTTAAAAAACTAAAAATGGGTACTCACTTTGGTAGCACTTATACTAAAATTGCAGCGATACAGAGAAGATTAGCATGGCCACTGTGCAAGGATGACATGCAGATTTGTGAAGCGTTCCATGTTTTTCAGTGTTCTATATCAATTATATATAGATAAAATAAAATATACTCTCTGTGAAAATATAAAATAAAAATGGAAATACCATATGACCCAGCAATTTGATTTTTGGGCATCCAACTGAAAAGTATGAAACCACCAACTCAAAAAATTATATGCTTCACAATATTTGTTGGAGCATCACTCACAACAGCTAGGACTTGGCAGCAATCCAGGTGCCCACTGGTGGAGGACTGGGTGAAGAAGACGTGTATAGCCACACAATGGAATACTATTCAGCTATAAGGAAGAAATGTTACTATTTACAGCAAAATGGAAGGAGCTCAAAGGAATGACGTGTAGTAAGACAAATTGGAAAGATAAAGACAAATATGGGATGTTTTCATCCGAGTAACAAGGAATCATAGCAGATGAGTAGACAAAGCAAAGTAATTGTAAGCTAGTGGACTCTCAGTAATCAAGTAGTTTCTGATATCAAAGGAGAGAGATGGGAGGAAGCGTCAAAGGTGATATAAGGGGCCTCCCCGGTGGCACAGCGGTTGAGCGCTGGGCTGCGAAGCTGCCCTTAGCCTTTGCACCCCCGGTTCGAGCCCCGGCCGCCGGGAGAGGGTCCCACATGGCGCGCAGACCTCTCCTGCTGCCCGCTGCTCCCCTCAGCAGTGTACTTCGGTCCCTCTGCCTGCTCTGCTCCCCACTCTGACTCTGGTGAATTCTCTCACCCTCCTCCTCTGACGGTACCCAGCGCTTGTATAAATAAATAAATAAATCTTTTTTTTTTTAAAAAAAAAGGTGATATAAGGGCAGGTGATGGGGAAAAAAACGAGCATACAGGGCGTATCAGAAGTGTTTGTGTTCTAGTAAGGTTTTTTTTAGAGGTATTTTTTATTTTTATTTTTTTAATATTTATTTATTTATGCATACAAGAACTGGGATGTAAGCCAGAGGTGCGGGGCGTGAGAGGATTCACCAGAGACAGAGTGGGGAACAGTACAGGTGGATTGAATGAAGTACACTGCTGAGGGGAGCAGTGGGCAAGACAGGAGAGGTCTGCTGCGCCATGTGGGTTGCTCCCTGGCCAGGGATCGAACTCAGGCCTAGCAGTGATAGTGTTGAGACTTAACCCCAGGCCACTAGGGAGGCCTTCTAGTAATAAGTTTTTAAAGCCTGGTTTTGTAAAATACAAAAGAAAAAAAAAAAAGAAAACTTGCAGGTACTTACATAGTACAGTGAGGTACTGCAGTGAGTAGTTACAGTGAATTCCATTCCACAAAGAATCAAAACAAATGTCCAGTCTTGATTTGCTGTATTGAGAGGGGAGGGAGAAGGCAACATTTCTGCAGAAATTGATGGGCTTCTGTCCAGTAGAGGGCACTGATGTGTAGCCAAAGCCCACTTGGACATTAGAACTTGAAAATAAAAAAAGCACAAATATTTTCTGTGGATTAGAACAGAAATTGAGATCCTAGAGGAAAGATAGGGGAGTGGAAGGGAAATTACACCGGAAATAAAATTTTCTTTTAAGTAACCATATATTTTAACCTCAGTATAAATTGTATAAAAATAATTACTAGTCAGGCCTCCCCTGGTGGCGCAGTGATTGAGCGCTGGGCTGCGAAGCTGCCTGCAGCCTCTGCAGTGCCGGTTTGATCCCGGGCTACTGGTGAGGGTCCCACATGGCGTGCAGACCTCTCCTGACATGCCAGCTGTGCCCCTCAGCAGTGTATTTTGTCAGTCTGCCTGTTCTGTTCCCTGCTCTGGCTCTGGTGAATTCTCTGACCCTCCCGCGCTTCTGACTGTACCCAGTGCTTGTATAAATAAATAAATAAATCTTAAAAAAAAAAAAATTAATAGTCACTTTCTTATTCCCAAAAATGGCCTGGGAGAATTTATTTACTTATTTAAAAGATTTATTTATTTATGCATACAAGAGCTGGGGTGCAGGCCAGAGGTGCAGGGGGAGAGGTGAAAGGATTCACCAGAGACAGAGTGGGGAGCAGAACAGGCAGATTGACTGAAATACACAGCTGAGGGGAGCAGCGGACGAGTCAGGAGAGGTCTGTTGTGCCATGTGGGTCACCTCTCTGGCCAGGGATCAAACTCGTGTTGCAGTGGCTGCTGATAGCTTCATAATGCTGAGACTTAGCCCCTTGCGCCACCAGAGAGGCCTGCCTGGGAGAAGTTAAATAAGTTTTGAGTTGTGTAAATTTTGCCATCAAAGATGGCAACGTGAGTAATCAGTAACACTAATTCCTAATCTAAGACTGGTCAAAGTACACCGGTTACATGACTGAAAGTAAATGCATTACATAAACCTTAAGAGGCCAATATTTTTTGTTAAGTTTTTTTAAAAAAGGGATTTATTTATTTATGCATACAAGAACTGGGGTACAGGCCAGAGGGGTGTGTGTGTGGGGGGGGAGGGGCTGAGAGGATTCACCAGAGACAGAGTGAGGAACAGAACAGGCACATCTAATGAAGTACACTGCTGAGGGGAGCCAGCAGGAGTCAGGAGAGGTCTGCTGTGCCATGTGGGTGGCTCCCTGGCCGGCTGGGTATCGAACTCGTGCTGCAGTGGCTGGCAATAGCTTGATAGTGCTGTCTTTGACCCTGGTGTCACCAGGGAGACCCTGTAATACTAGATTTTGTTCTGCACAAGATAGGACGTCACTGTGACGTAACTACAGGCCTCATTATGTTCATGTGGGCAAACTGCAAATTGGTACAAAGCAGCACTGCCCAAGTGAAGGATCATTCTGAGGTGACATTGACAGGAACAGTCAGCAAACAGGAAGGAACAAATCCTGCATCCATTTCAGTCCTCCTCTGCTAGAAATTCCTGTAGGCTTCCCTGGGAGCCTGATGACATTGGTCTAGTCTACAACCAACAAGGGCACAAGCTGGCCGAAAAGGTGAGGAGGGGAAGGTTGATGGTGAGAGATGGAAACAAGCACACTACCACTTCATTTTTTCTTGTAATTAGTCTACTCAAATATCTCTTCTTGATTTTGGCTGTTCAATTTTGCTGTTTTTTTTTTTTTTTTAAATCCATTTTCAAGGGACAGAGGATATATTTATTTATTTATTTAAAGATTTATTTATTCATATGTACAAGAACTGGGGTACAGGCCAGATGTGCAGGAGGGTGAGCGGATTCACCAGAGACAGACTGGGGAGCAGCGGGGGAGAAAGGAGGTCTGCTGCACCATGTGGGCTTCTTGCCCGCTAGCCGGGATCGAACCCACGCTGCAGAAGCTGCGGACAGCTTCACAGCCCTGAGCTCAACTGCCTGTGCCACCAGAGGAGGCCTCCTTTTGCTGTTTCTAACCATTCAGTGTTAGTTGCAACATGCTCTGTTTTATTGTGTCAAAGTGATAAATTTTATCTAAGATGTGTATGTATAGGAAGTTCTATATTTGTGGTTTCAGGAATCCACCAGGGGTGGTAGATGGTATCTCCTGCAGATGAGAGACTACAGTGTAGTTAAAATGGAATATCGGGAGGACATTAAATGCCTGACCACATTTAGACAAAACATACTGCCCCCCATGGTGGTTGGAACTACCATTATTACCTTGCTTAAACTGATGTCTTCAGATCTAACAAGCTTGTACCTCAGGACTGGAATTGTTAGCCACATACTCTTAGCAAACAATGTAGCCTGAACACAATACCCAGCCCTGTTCACTACCATAGCCCTAAAGCTGGGCAGGGTACCTCACAAATGCCTTTACTATTTATTCAGACAGGTTTCAGAGCAACACTAGCAGAATATTAAGTATCTCGTATTTGACCTTGTCCAAGAAAAGTTGGCTTTTAAGTATTTAAATGTAATCCACAGAACATCTTCTATTACACAAAACACCGCTCTGTTCCTTTTTAAGTATTCTAATCCAGGAAATATTATCATGCCAATTTTCATTTCTTAGTCAAATATTTAACGCTTACTATGTGACTAATACTATAGAGATAATGGCCACACTTGTGAGGGGAAAGGCAGGTTAAGGTAAAGAAATCAAGAGGCCTTCCAGGAAAAGATCAAGATTTTGAACAGTTGAAATATATATACCTTAAAGAGAGACTACTCTAGCTGTTGTGTTAATAGATGCTGGTGATGGCCTGAATTAGGGTGAAGGAGTTGGAGAATTATTTTGTATTTGGAATGAACAGAACTTGATCTGGAAGATGTGAGCTGAGAGGGAAAGCAGCCGTAAGGTTCAGGAGAATGTGACATTACTATTTTGTGAAGTGCACACAATGGCATTTTAGGAACACTGATATGACTTTGAAGTATAAGTGAGCTAAACAGTAAAAGAGGGCTGGACAAAAAAATTCAACAGTATTTATAACACTGAAGCGAACCAGAAAGGATTAAGAACAAAGACTGAACCTTAACAGGCCAGCACTTAAAGCGTATCAGCACACAACCACCAATGCAAGTCATTGCTTTTTTCTCAACAAGGAGTCTCATGAAATTTTATTCAATTTCAAGGGTACAGACAAGCAAATTTCACAGTAAAACACAGAAATAATGCAGCAATGTAATTACTGACTTGGATGGCTGTACTTGAGGTTGTTCAGAGTGCCAAGAACTACCTGGATTACCAGCTATCCAGTTTTTGCCGATCTTCAGTTGTTTGCCATGCCGGGATCCATTACTCCTAACTAGAATGGAAATGAGGTGTATTTACAGAGAAAATACTTCATTCTTAAGATGCCAGAGAATGTAGAACACTTTTTTAAGCAATAGGTTTCAGTCTACAAATGGGTCATTTAATTCCTCAATAGGTTTACTTCTAAGTCAACTTGTAAGCACAGCCATCAGGATTTCAGCATTAAAAAAATGGTTTTAATTATTTTAGTCTTTAAGGATTTTTAAATGGTTACACTGACTAGGAATTCCCTGAAGTGGAACAGCCCAATTACATTCAAAAACTTTGTAGCACCCCCAATTCATTATACATATTTAATGCAGTTCCTGAACCAAGCCTAATACAATCATAAACATTCAGTTTATAATCATAAACTGTATCAGTGTATTAAGAGACTGGTCCCTTTCTAGATAAAGTCTACAAATGCAAAGGATTAAACAGAGTTTTTACCACTGTTTCCTCTAGGGCACTCTAGAAGGTACTGCAAGCAACTAAGCTTTATTTAAATGACTGGATTAGCAATGACTCTCATTACGCCTGGTTAGATGGGGAAATCAGTGAATAGGAGAGTTGGAAGCCTTTCTGATCCACACCAATTTTCATACATAATATATAAGTATAAGAAGTGTTTAGGTACAAATTCACCGTAATTCAAGTTTTTAGGGGGAAGCCAATTTAAAATTCATTACTTTGTAGTAAAGGCATCACATTTTCTTGATTCCACTTAAAGCCTAAGGAAAAACTTTTTATTCTTTAATAATTGTTTTAAACCTTTACGTCTCTTATAAGCTGGTGAATAAAAATACTTTATATTAATACTAGAGAACTAATACTTCATACGATAAATCACAGCAAGGCAATTTATCAGAATTCTAACAAATGCTTGGTAACTAACATGGCACATGTAGGCAGCATCTGAGGAAAATTTTACAAAGGCAATTCAGTAGTCTAAGCAATAATGTGCACTAAAACTTTGGCATCTCTGTTACATTTAGAGCCAATCAACGGTTCTCAATTCCTGGAAGCAGCCCACTTGATTTGACAGTTTAGATATGTCATCACTAAAACTTCCATATCATTAATCAAAGGGTCAAACAATTTAAAATAAACTAGGATTTTAATTTTTATAGATAAGGAACCAAATTTACTCTACTTATAATATACTTAGAATCAAGTAAGATTCTGTTAAGATTGCAAAAGTCAACTTGTCTGATGCCTATGGTGGGCCAGGAATAAAGCACAACTGTTAAAAGATGGTGATTGGCAGAAAATGTATCCCTTAATGTTCAGTGACACTGGCAAAAAAACATTACTTCCAGGCACAGATAAACCAAGATGAGTCTACCAGTGCATCATCTCACCTTTTAGGAAAGATAATAGAGCATGTATCCTTGGGGGGCGGGTAGCAATTATCACCTCCAAGTGGGACAAAAAAAAAACAAACCCAGAACCTTTTCTATGTACAGAGAAGTTATACTACGTACACAGTTTATCTACATTAGAATTTTTTTGGGTACTATTAGAAAAAGTCTAAAGGCTTTAGGGGGTTGATAATGAGAAAAGGCTTTGAGAAGCATTGAATTAGAAGTAAATCTCTTGGTTTCATGCATTTCTTCTCACCACTATCGTCATTTTATGTTTGAAATATCCTGTGGCATTTTTGGTATCTGGAATGTTTTTAAGAACAGAATGATAAATATCTCTAGGACAATATTCCAAGAATAACTAAGCAACTTATGATCACCTCTAAATACACAATTATGGCATCTGAGAAACTTATGCGTAAAAATGGATGCCAAGGGAGGAAAATCAACTAACATTTATCCAACCATAATTTCAAGTACAATTTTTAACATCTATATTAAGAGTTACATATTTGAGGCCATGAGTTGGCACTGGCAGCTGAATTCCAAAATTTCCATTTAAAATTCATAATGAAAATCTGCAAAATCTTTTTAGAAAGCATTCCCTTCTTTATACTGCCACAGGTGATTTACCCATTTACTGTAATATTGCAGTTAGTAAACACTACTCTGTCATTATGAAGAAAAAAAATTATGATCAGACAAAGATCATAACGTAGTTCTGGAAGACTACACACTCCACTATACACAGTATATAATAAACCAGGGTACACGTGTACGGCAGTAAACATGCAATGATTTGGTTGTAGAAATGTTAAAAAATGTATTTCCTGCTACATCAGAATTCTGTGTATGTTGCTTATAGTTTGGGAGTCAGAAGGGTGAAAAGAGCAATTGTTTAATGCTTACACAGTAGATACCTGACCACAGAACATACAGTACCACTAGGTATTGACATGGAATTTACAAAAAATAAAAAATTTAAAAAAGAAGACTGACCTAGGTAACCTATTTGTAAGGATGGACTTTATTTAAAAAAAAAAAAAGTCTTTTGAAGACTACAAGTTACAAAGTAAAAGCGGATCACTATGTAGAAACCTAGTCAATACATTTTGCTTGTGCATGAAAACTTTATCAAAGTTATTCATTAACAATCTCACCCCATTCACAATAGTATCAGTTATTATGCTCTTCTTCATAAGGTTACTAAATCTTTATTTCAAATTAAATTACATGGTATTCCCTCTACATGAACTTTAAAATACCAAAAATCCTAGTTTGTAGGAATGGCACCTTTGAAAGGGGTAATTGCCACTAAGCACGTGGAGGCTTTATTTCAAGCTAGTTTCTTTCACTAATCAAATAACTTCCAAAATGTTCACTTTTAACATTAACATGAAGTCTTTCTCCCAGAAAGTGGCTACATTTCTAATGACTACATACACAGACGGGTAGCAGCAAGAAAAGATGGAAATTAAAAGGAGCCTTAAAATAAGTGGATCAATTGTATAGAAGAAATATTTGGCTCATGGCAACTAAAAAAATGGCAACTAGAGTATGTTAACGTTACTGAGTATGTTAAGAGAATGAAGTTAGTCCAGTATGACCAAGCAGTTATGTATCATCACTGCACTTCATCTTTACAACAAAGACTCTAAGTTGAAAGGAAATAAGAATTATATTGAGAATCCCAATTAGAACATTCTGATAACCATATTTCCAACAATTTTTACTGGGTTTAGTACATTCATTTCCTTTATTAACACTACTCTGAATCTTTTCCTATCAATTTAAGTGTATGACAAGTGTAGATACTTTAAATGACAAGACTCTTCTAAGGTATATTTGAAAATGTATGAACAGAATACCCTTTGTTTTGCCTGGAAAGTGACAAACTGAATGCCTAAGTTTCTTCCCATCATCTCTGCCACATATGATTTCCCAAAGACCTCACTTCCAAGCTTATTCTCCAGGGCTTCACTAAGGAATGAAAACCAGAGAACAGTTGAGCTCAACAACATCTGAGGTTAAAAATGCAAGAAAACATTAACATGCAAGTAATGGTCCAAATACTCAAGATTCATGTTAAATGAATTCAATTATTGTACATGAGATTTCAATGATGAGTAGGGCTTTGGGCATACCAAATTATCACACAAATCATTGCCTTTTGAGACTTTGGATACTTTTACAGTTTAATTTGCAAACAGAATTTATATAACAAATTATTTTTAACCAAATCATATTTTGAAAACTGTTTATATAGAAAACCCAGGGAATAAAGTGAATTTTTCATTGTGGAAGGCCTTAAATTACATTATTACAGTAGAAAATACAGGAGGTAGAAGATAACTGAAAAGACTAATGCAACATTAGATTCAAATCTATAGCTCCTGTAGCTACTTAAAACATGGTTTTAGAAACTAAACCCAACATTTCCAGTAACCATAGAAATAGTTAAAATAAAATTTGCCATGAAAGCCCTTATATCATGCTTGATATAGGGAGGTAGGAAGATGTAAGAACCAGGACACATGAGACATGACATTTATCTACAACTCCTGTTTGCTTTACTAGAGGGTGTAGTTTCAAATTCAGTCACCTTCTTCAGCTTCAGACTCAGATTCTAGAAAGGGGGAAAAAATGTAGTCAATCATTATATAATTAACAGAAAGCAAAAGTCCTCATTCAAAACTTTATTTTAGTCAGGAAATTTTGTTAACAATGTATTTATATGAGAACAATTAAGCATTTGTAGATCTCAAAATTCTTATTTATTAAATGTCGAATATTTCAATTTTTCTTCTAAGGATGCTCAGTATATATTACAGTGGAGTCATCAAAAATACCCCAATAATTTAAAGTCTAGTTTTCTCACCTGCCTTAAAGTGAGTATTTGCAGATCTGTCAAAATTAAACAAGTATCTGTACTCTATAGGTATAAAATGGTATTGGAATGAAGGAAGGCAGCATGTGTGTGAAGCGAATTAAAATACTTCATTAAACAAAGAGCACAAAGGAAAACACTCACCTTCTTCGGCATTTTTGAGCCACTCTACAAACTTCTTCATTTGCTCAAGGAAGACACTTTTGCCCTTTGCAACATGAGCATCTTTATACCACTTCAGAATGGGCTCTTCACTCAGGACTTCAGCTGTACAGAAGAGTTGTTATTACATTCTGGGAGTTTTACTTCTCAGTCTTAGGCAGAGTCAGAACCCATCCCAGGTGCAAAAATGCCCTCAAGGCAAAAAAAATCTTATGGTCATGTTAAGGAAAAACATTCATTTTTGTTGCCTACAAAAAGTAAATCTATCCAGGGCCTCCCTGGTGGTGCAAGGGGTTAAGCACTGTACTATGAAGCAATCTGCAGCCTCTGCAGCAGGAGTTCGATCTCCGGCCCGCCAGGGAGAAACCCACATGGTGCAGCAGACCTCTCCTGTCTCATCCGCTGCTCCTGTCAGCAGTATATTTCAGTCAATGTGCCTGTTCTGTTCCCCACTCTGTCTCTGGTGGATCCTCTCACCCCCCACATCTCTGGCCTGTGCCCCAGCTCTTGTATGCATAAATAAATTTAAATCTTAAAAAAAAAAAAGAAAAAGAAAGTTAATCTATCCAAACATTCTTAAATGGTTTCTTCAATAACAATTAAAAAAAAATAGAAAAGATGAAATGAGACCTATATTAAAAAAACTTGTAAATCAACTTGTTGCCAAAGTATGACCCTAACTAAAACTAGTAAAAAAAACCCAAAAACTGATTAAAACAATGATTTTTCTTAACTGAAGACAATTTTGCCTCCACTGGGACATCTATGTCTAGGCATTTCTGGTTGTCACCCTGGGAAAGAGGTGCTACTGGCATTTAACAGGACTCAGGGATGCTGTTAAACATTCTACAACGCACAGGATTGTTACTTACCTGAATTACATGAACCAAAGTATCAGAATTAGATTGATAAAACCACTTATGTTAAATGATCAAGGGCATGTAAGAGAATTTGGTAAATGTTTCAGATACAAAAGTAATACTGTAGTTTTTTTTTTACAAAGACTGTGTACTTTGTAGCTTTATACTGTAAAATTTAAGAATTAAATGAAGGTTTCTATGATTGATTTGTTTCCAAAGAACCTGACTGGGAGGAAGTGGGGATATATACTTGGGAAACCTAACCACAAACTGTTAACTACTATTTTAAGAATGGGATATTTGCGATTCATTACAGCATTCTTTCTTAAAAATTTAAATTCTGGGATGAGAGTAGATTTCTGTTCTAAATTTAGAATCATCAATGAAAACATTTACTGGATCAAAGCTGGTCTGATTTATGCAGAAATTTAGAGTCATTACCACTGACAATTACCACAACAAATCTCCCCCCCCATCCCCCGCCCCCTTTCTTTGTTAAAGGCTTCAAACCAGCTTTCTATTTTTGAAATTGGGACCAATACTTGAAAGAGGATGTTTTACAGAAACATTCTGAACTGCTGCAAATAAAGACCACTTTGGGTAGAGGGAGGGCAAAAGGAAGTTGACTTCTTACAGGCCATGGACTAGAAAACTAGTTAAGAGCATAAGAAGCAAAGTCTGAGACTGAATCAAGAAATGTGGTATATATACACAATGGTATACTACTCAGCAATCAAAAAGGATAAATGCATGCCATTCACAGCAACATGGATGAAGCTGAATGGGATTAATGCTCAGTGAAATAAGGCAGAAGAAAAAAGAAAAATATTGGATGGTTTCACTTATAGGAGGAATATAGAGGAACCAAATAAGGGATCAGGAAAACAAACCTAAACCCTCCCCAAATTAACAGGCAACTATGAATCGGAGACATTCTGCAGGGGAAGGGGAGGGGAAGAGGTCAAAACAAGGGAGGGAAGAGCACAAAGGACCACGGTGATGGTACACAGGTGAACTGCTTGTGGGAATTTTATGGGGACTACACCTGAGAGGAGAAAGCAAACATTACAAAAATAAACAATGATGGAAAATATACATGAATGAATTAAAAAAAAAAAGGAATGCTTTATATTTTAACTCATCAATAATGTTTCAAGATGTTCTGATATCAGTGCTCTTAAAAACTCAAGTTAATCAGGCAATTTAGTCCTGTGATTATAGTATTTTAGGGAGCTGATTTTCAGACTATTCATTGGAATTAAATCTAAGATTTTTATTAAATGTAGTCACAAAGTTTAAAAAAACTTAAAAATTACCTTTGTAAAAAAGCACCACTATTTTCTGGAAGGCTTTCATGAAATGAATGTTGTCATAGCAATACTCCTGAATCTTCAATAACAGAGTCAGCTCAGACTGTCCTTGAGTAGTAAAGGCAGCAAGTAGAGGGCTGTATTGCTTTTTTAAAGGGAAGGGAGAAAAGATTTAGTCATTCATTATAATGACCACCCATTATAAAATCCCAGTGTATAACAACAACTTTCATAATCACTGTGAATTATGTTTTGAATGAAAATTAAAAATAAAAGCAAACAAATCTACTAGGTAGCTACGTCAAACAAGCAATGCTGCATCAAGGATTATAGAAAATGATCAAGATAACATTTTAGAGAAGGAAAAAACCTTATTTTCCAATTTTCTCTCAAAGCCAACACCAAACTGCAGGTTTAAGCTACTTTCAAACATGTATGTGTTGATTTCTAATCACATAACTCAAAGAACTGTCAGACATTTAAAAAGGTTATCATTAGTTAATGCTCTTTTGTTTACTTAATACCAGGTTTTCTGGATCTCCTAGGAACCTCAAATGTGTAAGTCCTCTTAGAAAATTAGTGACAGTTTACTTATCATCACCTAAAAGCAAAATTAACGTTTCTGTCAAGGTTCAATTCTAATACCTTCAAGTGCTTGATGGCTTGCTCTGCTACAAGCTCCTCTTTTTTGTTCCATTCCACGGTGCTCATTACACTGGACCAGACTATTCCAATGACAACAGGTTCTGGGATGTTGTTCTTTTTCATCTCCTCCTTGACATACAAAATTATCTGCAAAAGAACCCAAATTTAATTACAGTCAGTTTTGATGAGTACATACTCCTCATATCAGACTATTTACAAAAGCACAGAAACACCGTGTTATACAACAGGTAACAACCACCTTCAATTAGAGAACTTTTAGAACTGGAGAGACAGACTTCTAGCTTCAACTTCATAGAGGTCTGTCCATTGACATACTCTGTAAGAGCCCCAAGTGTTGTAATTCTGGACATCAGCAAAGGCACTGAATATAAAAAAGTGGGAGGCAATGACCCAGTATCACATTCTAAAACTCACCGTGGAGTGAGTAAAAATTTTCTTTGCCAAAAAGTTGGCCAATATAAAGATGGTTTATACAAAAAAAATAACTTACATCCTTAAATGGATCACCACGGGACATCTGTTCTTGAAGTTCTTTCTGGAGTTCCTTACGAGCTCCTATGGTTTGCTGATTCCGAACATATTCTGAAAGCTCTTTCAGCCCTGCCTCAGTGAAATACTTCGTGAAGTGTTCAACACTTTGCTTATTGGCAGGAAAAAGTTCCTGAAAGGAGAATTTAATTTGGTTAAATGGTCTTTAAAGATTAAGAAAAACACTATCCCTCTTTTTTTAAAAAAAGATTCATTTATTTATGCATGCAAGAATTGGGGTATAGGCCAGAGGTGCAGGGGGTGACAGGATTCACCAGACAGACTGGGGAGCAGAACAGGAGGATCTACTGAAATACACTGCTGAGGGGAGCATTGGGCCAGACAGGAGAGGTCTGCAGCACCATGTGGGTTAGCTCCCTGGCCAGGGATCAAACTCAAGTTGCAGCGGTGATAGCCTGAAAGCCCTGAGACTGAAGCCTATGCCACCACGGAGGCCCAAGTTCTTGATCACACTAGCCTTGAGAGTTGGCAATAATGGGAGGAAAGAATGCAAAGAACTACAAACAAACCATCAGTCTGTTATCCATGCTGACTTTCCGAAGACTTGCAGCTACTGCATTGATATCTTTTTCGTTTATCCATGATTTAAAGAGTTTTACAGCAAAAGCTGCTGAAACCCCTGTAAAAGAAAAGACCTTACATAGTAGACAAGTATTTTCCTGAATTCCACCCACCCTGTCTCTCCATTTCCTTCCTCCATAGTTTAGTCACACAAAGGATTACTCACTTTATCTTCAAATTTCCCCCAGAATGTCCCCCCTCTGCCTCTGCTAGTCACTTCACGCCACTATCTCCATGCTCCCATCTACTAGTTGTAGATTCTTAGGTTATTTAAACTTTTCTTTTTTAAGATTTATTTTTATTTATGCATACAAGAACTGGGGAATAGGCCAGAGGTGCAGGGTTGCAGGAGTTGGTGAGAGGATACACCAGAAACAGAGTGGGGAGCAGAAGAGGATGATGTACTGAAACACACTGCTGAGGGGAGCAGCAGTAGAGTCAGGAGAGGTCTGCTGTGCCAAGTGGGTTAGCTTCCTGGCGCCGCAGTGGTGAGAGTGCTGAGACTTAACTCCTGTATCACCAGGGAGGCCCCATAAACTGTTTTCTCATATGTAAGATGAGGGTAATGGTTCTGATGCTTGAAAACGTTGAGAATTTAAAAAAGCACATTAAGTATTCAGTACTGTTAGCTTTTAAAAATTATACAGAGTAATTTAACTATGGGTACCACAACAGGGAACTTATTTTCCTTCTCAGCTTAACACTCCCCCCAAAATCACTTTCTCTATTAAAGATGTCACATCTTCCAACTGGAAGTAATCTCCTTCTGGATCTCCACAGCATCTCTTTTTACTTTACAGAATCACATTTTGTCAGGACCCTCGACATTGTTGTATGCGTAAATAAAATCATTAATCCTGGATGCCAATGGCATACATTCAATGTCTAACAAATTCTATGAATCTGTTTTAGTGTGAATAGCTAGCACTAAAGCAATCACATGATTTCTATAAACCACAACTTTTACATCAGTTCATCTTTTACGTTTTGATCTTATTCCACCTGCAGTCAGCTGAAGATGGCTTACCTTCTTTAACCAAATTCTCATTATAAAGGCTATTAAGAATAGATGCGTTGAGTGTTCCGTTAGCCAGAAGAACACCAGTCAACATAGCCAACTTGTTCCTTTCCGACTCTGAAAAACCCTTTAAGAACAGCAGCAGCTAGAAAAGTAAACAGGTAAGGGTTAAAAGAACAACTGCATTATATATTGGTTAAGAATGTGTGATCTAGGGTCCAACCATCTGAGTTTATCTCTGAGCCATAAAACTTGCTGAATGATCTTAGGTAAATTAACGTCTTAGGTAACTTAATCTCTATGCCTCAGTTTCCTCACATGGATCAATACAACTTGCCACCGGATTTTTGTGAATAGTAAATGAATTAGTGACCAAAATAGTACTTGATAAATTCTAAGATTTTCTGTGCACTACATGTACAATAGCTGAGAGTCAATAGCCAGCATACCGAATTCTTTCAGTCTCAACGTTTTAAGCTCTGATCCTCTATACCATCTTCTGAACAAACCTCACCAATGTTTAGCCTCAAATATATTTACCCATTTGTAGGTTACTAACAGAAAATGAGCATAAAATACAGTTCTGTGTTTTACTCACACAGTTAACAGTCTGTAGGACAGATTTGGATTCTTTTCCTATAGTAATGCAAATACAAGATTTTGACTGATGAACTGACCTTCCCATAACTTAATCACCTTTTGCCACTTGTTTGGACACAGAGCTAAGAAATAATGTAGAACAAATTAAATACACGATGAACATATCAAGATAGTCCACCAAAATATCTAGATTTCAAATATGTGGCAGAATTAGAATCTAACATTCCCTCCTTTTTTAACCCTAACCCTTTGTTTTCTACAAAGCGTATTGTTCCTCATACCTTTTTAACTTCATCTTCAAAACCTTTCTCCAGGTATTTGTAGCGCCTGATTAACTTGTTAAAAACCTACAAAGAATAGCAAAGGAGTTTAATGACCAATTCATAAGTACAGACACCAAATTCCTAAAGTATCTGGGTCAGGGGCACTGAGATCTTTTCCATGGTATCTTCAGAACCGCAGAGAAGTTAACTCTTCCACTGGATAGAACAGGTTAGCCAAGCCATTTAAATCAGCTTGAGAAATCTGTCTATTTCCAAACCCTATGCTATACCAAAGCCATTAACTCTCTAATAATCAACTCTTAAGATTTTTACTACCAAATATTAAGACAAGGATTGGTTATTGCTCAAATACAAGTCATTTACCCATTTGTAGGTCAGGAACAGAGTAAGATCTTAAAATACAATTCTGTGTTTCTTAAGTCACATAGAGAACAATCTCTAGGTGAGAAGATTCTCTGAATTCTTTGCCTACAGTAATACAGATATAACTAATATGATCTTGACTGATGAGCAGACCTTCCCATACGCAGAATAATTTAAAGATGGAAATCACAATAGGAAAATGATTTTCCCTATCTAGTCTAAGATTTTCCTTTAAAAAAAAGGGGGGAGGGGGAATCTATTATAGCAGGGGGTAAACAACGAAAGGAGACTTTTTTTTTTTTTTACTATTTTCCTTAACACATTTAAGTTTCTAATTCATAAAACATTGTACCAAGAACAGTTGTCTCAAGTAGTCAATTCAAAATTCCTTCAACCATCTATCTGTAACCTTTTAAAAGCAACCTTTTCTCTAAACATTAGTCATACAGAGTAGCTACCTAAAATAATTTTGTGTCATTTACCTGCGCAAATGCTTGCATGGTCTCTAGGTCTTCTTGTGCTGCGAACACACAGACATCTGTACGCATCATGTCATCTGCCAGTGTACCACCTGGGGCTAAGGCATATTTTACAAAATTTACAGTGACTTTTAAAGTTGGCAGTAATTTCAATTTTATTATCTATAAGGATTCTCATAAAATAATATCACAAAAATTCTAAGAGATGAATTGTAAACAAAGTTAATTTCTCAGTAGGAACGTAACTAGTTGCTTGGGTATATGAAGGGTGAAATAACTTACGTTGAAATAATGTATTTTAATTGTTGAAGTTGGGCAACAGATCAAAAAGTCATTATATTATTCTCTTTAGGGTATGAATATTTTCTAAGTGTTTAATTTTTTAAAGGTTTATTGATAGTAATCTTATAAGACAGATATTTCATATTTCTTACTACAAATTGGTAACACAGTGAAATATTAATTTGATTAGTCATTAGAACACAAGTTCACAAACCTAAGCTCCTGGTTCCTTCACCAAACAATTGTTTAACTGTATGTAAGTTACTGAAACCTCTACTATGCATATATACAAATGGAGTTCTAATTCCATCAGCTTAGCTATGAAGGTCAATATGACTATTAATGTGAAAGCATTTAAAAATATTTTAAAGAGCAATGGAAATGAAATTACCACCACCATTCGAAGATCTCAATGGGACTAGCCACATTCCAAGTGACTGATAGCTACACATGACTAGTGGATAATGTATTGAATAGGGCAGAATTAGACTCTTCGGGTTACAGATGTAGCATTTCGTAAGCCAGAACAAGAAGTAGTGGTTTCTCCAATAACTGAGTGTGTTCAAACACAGGCTGGGAAAAAAACACCAATGGGGGGGTGGGCGGGGGCGGGGTGGGGTGGGCAGGGTATTGTAGACTTAGGCTATAACATCCCCAAATGTTATAGTTCTGAACAGGCTTAAAATATAGAGCTAGGAAGAACAAGGCAATCTGTGATTTTACTATGATTTGGAAAGGAAAAAAGGGGAAGAATACAAAGAGAGAAAGAAAACAACAAAGCCACCCAACTTTGACAGGTTTGTCAAACAGTTCATAGTCTGTATTCTACATAAACTGCATACATCACACTTCCCATAAAACTCACCCAGCATTCCACCAGCCACCAGGATGTCAAAGAGTGTTTCTGCATATCGGCGGTAATCAAGTTTTGCTCCAGAAGCATCAAGAAACTTTGCTACTGCTTCCAAATCAGTACCAGTTTCAGTTAAGCCTTGAATAATACAGTCTTGAAACTGAGTAGGGTCAAACCTCTCTTTTTCATCTGAGGGAAAAAATCCAAAACGTTCAGTTTTAAAAAGCTCACCAGAAGGCCATGAAATCACCACCTTATAAAGCTCTCACTATTGAATAGCTCAACCACATTCATCACAATTTATTTCAACGGCTGGAAAAAACAAATACAAGCTAGATCACTCAAGACCTGCAACACAAGCAAAATATAACAGGAAAACAACATTCTTTGCAAGCACAAGGCAGAATTGCCTAGTCACAACAACTATGTGGCTTTTCTCTTCTTTTCACACACCCACCTCTTAAGTAAGCTAAATGAGCTGCTAGTGACCTACTGCCAGGAGATAAGGTCTACTTGGAATGCTGTATCATTGCCTCTGGGCTTCTCTTAAATTTACAACATTCTCTAAACTTTAGGTAAATTCTATTCCTCAGTTATAACTTTGTTTAAACATTGGAGCTCTTGATTCTTTTCTTTAAATGCCCACAACACTATCGTTTATGTTTTTATAATCACTCATTTGATACTTATTAAGCACTCTTTAGAAAGCTTAATTATTGAGCACCCAATATGACAAACTGCAGAAGACACCTTGCTTTAATCTTGTATCAACCTTGTGAGGCAGTCCATTTTGTTCCCACTATACGAAAGGGAAAGCGAAGGTCAGAGATATTAAGTAATCAAGAGACTAATAACTGTGCAATAGTTAAAACATGAGCTCTGAAGTCAAACTGCCATATTCAAATCCTCATTATAATCTAACTGGATTTGACTAACAAGATTTATTCTTCATGCCTGAATTTCCCTACTGTATATGGTGATTAAGAATAACACCTATTTCATAAAGCTGTTTTATTACATGATATAAATAAAATAGAAAATACTTAGCACAGTGCCTTGAGTACACACTGAGTCTAGTTATCACATACTCTACGAAAGGGTGTGATTTCCCCATTTGGATTAGAGGATATCCTTATTTTCACACAGCACCAAGGTGATCAATTCCTCCACTTGCCCAGGACTTTGTTTTTAGCATGTAAAGACCTATCTCCTGGGATCTACCATCAGACCCAGGCAAATCAGGATGGCTGCCTCAACCTACCCAGGCCATGAGTGAGCTTGATCTGCAACTGGGTAAGTGATAGTGCTCCCTAATGTTAACAAACATCAATAAAACCATATGGTATTATAATTACAGAAATGAGATACCATAATCTACATATTCATTACAAGAATCTATAACATATATCCCTGGGCCTGCAACTCAAGGTAGAAAAACACAATTTATAATCAGTAGTTGACCCTGCTTACCTCAAAATCTCCCTAAGTCAATAATACTGAAAAGTTTTGGGAAAATATCAGGTTCCAAAATATTAGGAAAATAAAATGTACTACAAATCACACCTCAATTTTGTATCATTAGCCAGTGCTTTGCCACAGAATTAGATATACATTTAAGTACCCTCTAACATAAGAGTAGTCAACACAATTTTAGCAACCACTCTTATTGTCTCAAAAATATTTAATTTCAAAAGATATTACAATATGAATACTGTTCCATAATTAACTTCCATGGGTAAAGTATGATATTCATCTCACAAATCTTCACAAAACTTGTGCGAAATTAGTGATCATATTAGCTTTCCTTTTATAAGCCCTTTTCCTTAAGCAAAAGCTTGCTAAAGTGAATTAGTTAATGAAAATGCAGCCAATAATTTTTCTTTTCAAAAAGGTACTTTATCTTCATAATAAGGCCACCCATCAACCCACTCTCATATATATGTTGATATTACAAAACCAAAAGCTTGGGAAAGCAGTAGCAATATTTAGGGTGTATCTTAAGTGCCAGTGAACTTGGAATTCAAGTTCCTTTCTGGTCTTTTCTGTCAACTGCATGCCAGAAAAACCACGATATGAAAGTTAATCTGGAAGTTTGACTAGAGAGAGTATTAAAACATATTTACCTCTTTTTCTGGTTTTAAAACGCTGGCCTGATAGCGTTGGCTTTTGCTGCTTTTGATTATTCATAAAAGACACCCTAGGAAAAGAAAAATAGGGCCTTAAAAATACCCGTGCCATAGTATTCATTTTTAAGACAAAGTAGCAAACCTTGGACTAGTCACAAAAAAATTCAAAGGAAGCGCTTGCTTTCAGCATGGCAGATACACCTGGTGGCAGGCACAAAGATAACCTGTGTTTGGATTAAATACAACTTCCAAATTGTATTTCTCCCTACAAGAAACCCTTTAAAAAGGTGATATGAAATACATTTTAAACGACTTCTCAGCACCACAGTGAATGGGGGCAACCACCAGGCACACACATAATTATTTAGGTTCTTCCTCGTTCCTCTTGAATTCACCTACGTCGTCCTCCATTGGCTCTTAACACCCCAGAAGATTAACAACAGGTTCCTGCCACGGTCAGGAGGTAGCCAGAGCATGCGAGTCAATTTTAAGACACTGTCAAAAGGCGAATTCCTTTTTTCTGAGAGACCTGCTTGCGTGCAGCAACACACCCCACCCCCACCCCGACCCTTTAAGTCGTGCCGGGACCGCAGCGGCCGCCTGCACGGCTCCAGCCTGCAAAGTGCAGAGACCAGGCCCAGCCGCAATCGTCCCGCAGCCCACAATCCAGCCTCCTCCCTGGACAGCCTCCCAGCCCACACCCTCCCGGCTTCCTGCCGGGGACCGCTAGCCCCCCCCCCCACCCCCGACCAGGACCCCTCGGCCACGGCGGGGCGCCGTAGCGACGACCCCTCGCCCTGCCCACTGACCCGGTCGTCGGCGGTGGCCGCCGCAACGAGCGGACCACAGGCGCCGAGGCGCTTCGCGCCGGGGGGCCCGCCGCCCCGTACATCCGCCCGGCCTCCCGCGAAAGCAGCCGCGGTGGAGGCGGCCGCAGTGGTGGTGGCGGCGCCTCCGCCCCGCCCGCCGGAACCCCCCACGCGTACATCACCCAACAGAGGCCGCGGCGGCTTTGTTACCCAGGCCGGGCAGGGCCGGACGGGGGTCGGTCCCCGCCGCGGCGCACACCCGGGCCACGCTGCGGCCCGGGCCGCCGCCCCTCGGCCTCCCCGCTGAGGCGGCCGCCCCGGCCACGAATCCAGGCCCCGGGGCCGGCCCGGCCTCATGCGGCGGCCTCCGTTCAGGCCGATCCACGCCGGCCGCACACGGCCGGCCGCCTCCCTCGCCCTTTGCCCGGCGGTGAGGCGCCGCCGCGTCGGCCCCGAACGGGCGGCCGCCGAGCCTCACCGAATTTAAGGCGAAGAGAAAAGAGCCAGAAATCCCCGATGTGGCGGCAACTGCGGCGGTGTCTCCTCTGCGACCGGAACTAACGCGAGGAGGAGGAGGAGGAGGAGGAGGAGGAGGGAAGAGGAGGGAGGAGGCGCCTCCCACGCCGCGGCCGCCTCCTATCGCGAGATTTCGCCCCCTGGCGCGCTCCCTCGCCCCTCCCGGCCGAGGCCTGGCGCCGCTGCCGTGTCCATTCCTCCGGGAGTGTGGGGTGGGAAAGGCGGAAAAGACAGGGAGGGTGGTTTTAAGGGCTCCTTTCTTCTCAAGTTGGGTTCCAGGGCTCCCGGACACATATCCTGGACTAGCCTCTTCGTCCCTCCGCCGCGTTATCCGACCTCAGTCAGTACACGGACGGGTGGGATGAACCCACGCCCCTCGCCGCCCCGCCAGTCTCGAGGACGCTGGGCACGCCCGCCCGGAGCCGCTGCCAGCGGACCCCTCCTCTAGCAGCCGGAAGTCCAAGCCCAAGGGCGGGGTCGGTGGAGTCTTGGGGCGGAGGCCCATCTTGGTGAAGGGGCCGCGAACCATGCCTCACTCCCACTCTGGCTGGGGTGGCAGGATTCGCCGGGCGGCATTGCTCAGCGGCGCTGGCGCCGCGAATGGTGCACGGCCCTTGGAAGCCTGGGCGAGCCAGATAGGGGGTTCAAAAGAAAATTCTACCCTTTGCGGCCGCTGGAGCTGGAAGAGTGGTCTCTCTTCCCTCCTGAGTGTGGTATTTGTGGGACAGGAGAGCATTAGAACCCCCTGGAGGATTTATTAAAACACAGGTTGCTGGGCCTCATCCGCAGAGATTGTGTTGGTCTGGCGTGGGACTGAAGGGACATTTCTAACAAGTTCTCTGAGATGCACGTGCTGCTGTACTAGGGGTTGCACTTTAACACTGTTAGGGGGAAAAGGAAGTCCTAAAGCTAATCCCATACAGGCTTTGTGGACTCCACCCCCACCCCAGGCCAAAGCCAAAGACACTGGGAACTCCAAATCCCATCACCACCAAAGGGAAGGTGGCTGGGACCTGAGGGTGGGGTTAAGCAGCCAGATTTGGTATAAAGCCAGACACGTGGGCTTTGGAGGGGTCCCCCATTTTGGCTCTCCGCCAGTTCGCAGCGTCCAGCCAGCTCTAAGAGTGCTTTTTGGGTTTCCAGGTCGTGGGATCGGGTAGGACGCATTAAAGACTATTTCCCTATTTTCTCCCTGAGTTGTACATTTCCTTAATTCCCTTTCCCTTGTAAATAAACCTTTTATTAACCTTTTGTGTGTGCCTGTAGTGGAGTATTAATAAGTCCCTTTTAAGCGCGCCGGTGAGGACCCACAGCCAGGCAACCCGTTCAATATCGGGGCTGCCCTAGAACAGCTGGCACCCAACGTGGTTTCCAAGCTTCACCTGTGGTTGACCAGCCCAAAGTAATTTTTCTTGTGTTGGTTACCATACGCTGCCCTATAACAACACCACTGAACGAGGGCCTCCCCGGTGGTGCAAGGGATTAAGACGCAACCTATGAAGCTATCTGCAGCCACTGCAGCAAGAGTTGGATCCCCGGCCAGAGGGCTACCCACATGGCGCAGTAGACCTCTCCAGTCTCGACCGCTGCTTCCCTCAGCAGTGTATTTCAGTAGATCTGCCTGTTCTGTTCCCTCCTGTGTCTCTGGTGAATTCTCTCACCCCCTCACACCTCTCCTCTGTCCTGTACCCTAGTTCTTGCATGCGTGCATTAAATAAATAAATAAATAAATAAATAAATAAAAAACAACCACTGAATGAGCTGGTGTAGCATTAGAGAGCTGGGAATGAGATAATGGGTGTGAAAAGCACCTTCGACACATTAAAACTATACTAATAGAGTTGCACAGGATATACTTCCCCCCATGTTTGTACTATAGTCATTTATATTTCCATCTACTTCCATCTCCCGAAGAAGCAAGAACAGTTTGTCCCTAAATTCGCCCTCCCTGGAACCTACTTTTCTTTCTTATGTTTTGGTAAGTTAGTCTACTTGATCTCTTTTGTTTAACGTTCTACCCGTCCCAACTTAATGGAAAAAATTATCAGAGTTCATTCCTGGAGTTATCGCCAAATCTGGTGATCTTTTTCAGTATTCACACACCTTGCCTCCTCCTCTTAGCATGATTGAGGGGCACCCAGGGGCCCCAAGCTGTTAAAGGATACAACACTCTAAAGGGGTCTGGCCAGCTGTGCACAAAGGAAAGGAGGCAGATTCTGCGAAAGTCCCTTAATAGAGTGCATAAAGAGAAAGAATAAAAGACATTCCTAATAATAGTTTCCCAGTAACACCTCCTCCCCAAATTATCCGGCCTCTCATGAGAAATGTCCAGGCAAATAGGGTTGGCCTAAAGCAGGATTCTTGAGTCTTGAAAGCTTGCCACAGGTGTAAGTTACTGTCTGGTGGGACACCATAAGGAGGGACACAAAAGTACAAATCAAGGTAGCGGCTGCCATTGTCTCTGGCGAGGTCAGTCTCCTGTGTGTTTCTCACCCACACATCTCTTCCAAGTCTACTATGTGTCTTCCTCAAGTCTCCCCAACAATACCAGGGTGCAAGTTGGGTTACAGAAGCAAGAGCCCCCTAGAGCCCACTTGCATTCCATGCTATATAGTTTCACCTGCTCAACTTCACTAGTTCCCAGTAGCTTGCCTGTTCAGGAAGTCCTGTTCATGGCACACTGGAACCTGTAATCCATGACAACTGCTTGTAAATGGGGTGAGTAAAATGGTACCTTCCTTCCAGGCAAGTGTATCTAACACTGAGTGTATATAGGGTGTTACCTATCTCCTCAAAACTTTATTCCAACTGTCCTGGTTACCTCTCTGAATATTAATTGCTAACACTTTTTATATATTAAACTGTTTTTCTTTTCTCATGCTTTCATTAAACAAGTATTTCTTGAGTTCAGGTTCTGTGTCCTCCCTCTGTGCTGAGGGAGTAGTAGTGGGAAGGTCCTGAGATAGGAAGGAAAATCTCTATCCTGTTGGAGAAATTGAAAGAAACTCCTGTGAGTGGAGTTTGTGGGAGCACAGGAAAGTGGCAAGAGACATGTAGATCTCAAAATTTACCCCCAACCTTTTTCTTAAGTGCCCAATCCACATTATCTTGTAACTTGATTGGAATGCCAAACTAAATACTCAGTACTGTAGATTATTCTTCTCCCAAAACTTTTTTTCTCATTTCTGAAGTTCTGTTAAAGATGTTTCACTAATACAAATAAGAGATACTTGGACCTCCTTGGTGGTGCAAAGGGTTAAGACGCAACCTATGAAGGGCCTCCCTGGTGGCGCAGCGGTTGAGCGCTGGGTTGCAAAGCTGCCCGCAGCATCGGTTTGATCCCCGACTGCTCCCCGGCCACCGGAGGAGGGTCCCACATGGTGTGCCACATGGCGCGCAGACCTCTCCTGCCGCCAGCTGTTCCCCTCAGCAGTGTACTTCGGTCCTTCTGCCTGCTCTGCTCCCCGCTCTGGCTCTGATGAATTCTCTCGCCCTCACATGCTTCTGACTGTACCCAGTGCTTGTATAAATAAATAAAAATAAATTTTTTTTTAAAAAAAAGACGCAACCTATGAAGCTATCTGCAGCCATATGAAGCTATCACTGCAGCGTGAGTTCTATGCCCAGCCAGGGAGTAACCAACATGGTGCAGCAGACCTCTCCTGGCTTGCCCGCTGCTCCCCTCAGCAGTATGTTTCAATACATCTGCCTGTTCTGCTCCCCACTCTGTCTCTGGTGGGTCCTTCACCCCCCACATCTCAGGCCTACTCCCCAGCTCTTATATGCATGAATGGATGAATCTTTAAAAAAAATAAGAGATATTTTCATACAGCAGGTATGTATCATATATTCTTGTAAGGACTTTGTAATTAATCTCATTTAATCCTCAAAACTACCCTATGATCTAGAAACTGTTATTAGCCCCATTTTATAGATGGGAAAACTGAGGCATAGAGAAATCAAAAACTTGCCCAAGGTCATAAAGCTAGTAAACTGAAGAGCTCAATTCAAACCTAAGCATCTGACTCCACCACTATACTACACTACTTTGCCACCAAGTCCTTTTTGCTTATCCACTCAAATATTTATTGCGCTAGAGATCACTAGAAATTACAGAGGTGACTAGTCATACCTGTTCCCTCATAAAACTTAACTTTTATATTTGTCACTTTTCTCATTTTTTACTACTACCATTTTGATTTAAGTTATTACCCCTAACTGGGACTTTTGCAATAACTTCCTAACTGCTATGGCTTTCTTCAATCTTCTAGAATAATCTTCCCTGAATGTACCCTAAATCATTTCTCTCCACTGTTTAAATGCCTTGGTTTGTACTCAAGAACACCTAGCTCTGACCAATGTTTTTTTTACTTTTACTTACTATCATATCAGTGGTTCTCACCTGTTATTACCATCTGTTGTGGCTTTTGACTAAAAACTTTATAAAAGTAGCAAGATGAGTTCTTTAAAAATTAAAGCAGCTTGAGGTTTATTATAACATCATCTTCACTCATTGCATTCTTACATATATCTTGAAAATAAAGGAGGGTGGGGAATTATGGGGAATTATTTATGGCAAGCAGTCTGTCTTACCTATGCTCTCGGGTTGTGCC